TGACAGTTGGCCCTGACACTGGGCACAGGTGGCTCTGACCTACAGGCTACAGGAGAGTTCCTGTTCACCTTGGGTCCCCAGGGTGCCTGACACCCAGTGCAGGGTGAGTCTAGGGAGAGGACGGGGTTGTCCTGAGGACTCCTGCTCAGAGTTGGGAGAACTTTGCAAACAAGGATGGGCAGCCTCAGGAGGAGCCAACTGTCCTAAGGTTTCAAAAGAAGGACATGGAGGTGTCTCTTGAAGAAGATCACAACCAGGATGGTGCACTGTTAGGAACCCATGGGACGCTCTTGGCTTCTGACTTTTGGTTGGAGTTGTTCTCTGTTTATTTTCCCTGAGAGTCGAAGGCATGTGGGAGGCTTTTCCTGTCTGTCTGGTCCCATACATATCCAACCTGAGCAGAGGTGACTCCTACAGACCCCGTGATGAGCACCCAAGGCTGGCAGTGCGCAGGGAGGGGTCTAGGAGGTCTGTCCCCTCTCTGTGCAGGTCAGGGAGGTGGAGGGGAGCAGGAGGCTGAGGAGTGTGGCTGAGGCAGGGCACAGGCAGATTTGGGTTCCCTGGGGGGTTGGAGGGGACCCCAGCCACCATGCAAAAGCAGCACCTGCTGTCACAGGGAGAGAGCAGCAAGTAGATTGCTATTCTGGCTGCAGCTGGCCTGGGAATGACCTCTGGGACATATGGTGAGGCCAGCTGTATTGTATGTGTCTGTTCCTTTGAAAGGTATGAGGAGGGATGGGACCAAGTGTTTCCTTGACAGTCAAATTTCCTAGTGGCTGCTACTGCCCCACCGCCTCTCCCTGTAGAGGGTCAGGAGGGACCTGAAGCTGTGTTTTGGACCCAGGGCTGGTTTCACAGACACCCTGTGGGGTCTGCTGCCCTTAGGGAGGGAGGAGAGGGACTAGGGTGCTCCTGCATGCTGAAGCCTCAGGTGTCCCACCTGGTGAGTCTGCTCAGACACCTGCCTTGGGGGCAAATGTCAGAGCTGGTGGTTGTCACTGACCTGAAGCTGGCATGATGTGGGGGCAGGTGTTCAGGAGACCAGAGCACATGGCTCCTGTAGAGGGGAGGGTCTCAGGGGCTGAGCAGGTTGACCTGGGGAAAATGGGAAGGACTGCTGGAGAGTCAGCCCCTCATCTGCCCCTGTCAGGGTCTGAGGCTGTGTCCAGGGAGAAACACTGGGCACAGGGACAGGGTACAGAGGACCCTGGGGACGCTCAGATGCAGAAGGTGAAGAGGAATCCACCCCATCCACGTCAGGGAGACTCCCCTGAGTGCACAGTTGACTCTTCCACTGGGCAAACTGGGGGGGGGGGGTGAGTGGGACCTGACATGACACTGCCTCAGCATGACACTTCCTGTAGGGCTTGGCTTGACACAGTTTCCCAGGGGCTTGTGTGTGGCTCAGGGAGCAGGATGCGGTGCTCAGGGGGAGCTCCAGCTGGTGTGGTTCCCAGGACAGGACCTGGGGGAAAAGATTCCATGAGCTTTTAAGATGCTTTTAAGATTTTCAGGGGACTTGTGTTCCTGCGCACACCCAGAAGAGCCTCCAGAAGAATGCAGCTCAGGACACCTTGACTCTGCTGTTTCCTGCCACTGTGTGGGAGCCAGTCTGTGGCAGCTGCACCACGAAACCAAGAAAAGAGAAGTCATCGTGTGTGTCCTGATGCTATGTTCATGCAGGACGAGCCTCACTAGAGCTGAGTCACAGTGGAATCTCTGAGGATGACTTCCTACTTGTCATGTCAGGACAGACAACTCTCAGGCATCAGCAGAGTGTCCCCTAATCTTTACTAAATTTACCTCTAATTTCCAGGAATATAGTGGCCTGATCTACATCGTGAACCTACATGAGAATGTCCCCTGCCCAGCCTTCAGGGAAGGAGTCAGAGCAGTGGCCAGGTGTATTGAGGAGGCTGTAGAGCACATCCTGGTCAGGGAGGAGACCCTCTGTCCCATCACCATGGAGCCTAGAGAGCCCCATGTGGGGAGCCCTGAGCCTCTGCCCTGGGTGCTGGAGTGTGCAGAGGAGGCTGGTCCCAGGGAGACCAGGCAGGGCAGAGTGGAAGGTGATGGGAGGGCAGGGCTGGAGCCTCGGGCAGGGCCTGAGGCCCTTGTTCAGGGCATGATTATGGATCTCGCCCTGTCCCCTCATTACTCTGAGAGTCTCTGTCCCTGTCCCAGCAGAGGTGAAGATGTCCTGAGTACTGGCCTTTGGGTGGAGAAGAAATCTTGGCCAGAGATAGCCACCCTGGGTCCCTGGAGCGTGAGGGCCACTGAGTGCTCTGCTGGCTGCAGGGCCTTGGGACCCTCACCCTTCCCTATGGACAGACCGACCTTTGCCCTGGCTCCCACCTCCCAGCTCCTGTCTCCCAGGAAGAGAAACCCTGTGGGAGCAACTTAGAGACCACGATTCCCCTGCGTGACACAGGAGAGAGCTGACGGGGAACTTGAGGGGAGTGTCTGCCAAGAGACGTTCCCACAAGAACCAAAAGAGCAAAGGAGGGAAGGGGGTCTTTATTCAGCGCCTTTCCAGGTGACCAGTACTGGCCCTTCCCTCTCCCTGGAATGCCATGTTCCTGGGCACAGGCAGCCTAGTGCTGGCCGTTCAGAGCCCAGGGCAGCCTGTGTCCCTAGAATCCCCAGGGACCCCTCCCCCTCTAGGTTCCAGAGTCCTATAGGGTCAGGCTCCACCTCTGTCCCATTACCCAGCATCTGGGGTCTAGCAGGACCCTCCCTCAGCCCACATGGAGCATCGTGTGGTGGAAACTAAGAATCCACATCAGCCTTGTGGTCGACCCGGCAGTAGATGTCCAGGTCAGGGTTTAGCAATTCCTGAAAAAGAACAAAGAGGCCTCTGACCCTTCTGAACAAGGGGACCATGAACTCCTAGTCCCTGGCCCACCTGGGATTGCTCTGTCCCTGTGTCTGTCTGGGCTCAGAGGCTCCTGTTCCCAGGCCCCCCCGCCACCCCCCGCTCACCATCCCCTGATTCCATTTTGGCTGCTGTTTCCTGGCAAGATCAGGAAGGTGTGGGGAGGGGCATCTCTTGGGTAGGCCCTGGACTGTGGGCAAGGGTCACCACCCACACTCACCTGGTAGATGGGAACAGCAGATCTGTGGCCAGGGGGTGGGGCCTGGCAGGGAGGGAGATTGGAAATCAGGGTCAGCAAAGGGAGGATCCTGAAGGCTGAGACTCCAGTGAGCAGGTGCTGGGTGGTGCCTGGAAGGTTCTGGTCTCTGACAGGCCAGAGCTTACTCCCTGTGTCTGTTTAGCCCTTTCTGCTCAGGAGGTACCAGCTCTGGGTCCTGAGCACCAGCCTCCACTTCAGGACAGACACCCCAGTTTCTGTCCAGACTATGGTCCCCATCATTAACCTAGGATCACTGATAGAAGCTCCCAGCTCCCACTCTGCACCAGGACTCCCCTGAGATGGCAGGAAGTAGGGTGGGCTGAAGACAGAGTGATGGTGGTCCTGTCCCTGAGAGTGGCCAAGTCTCTGGCCAGGGCCAGGCTAACCCTGTCCTGGTCCATCATGAGTGGGGGTGTCTGTGCTGTGTGGGGGTTGACAGTGCCCCTGCCCTGAGACTGCAGAGCTAGTCCCCTGTGTAGAGATAGCTGGGGGGACTTACCAGGGAGGTGGAAGTGTCAGAGGGACCTTGGCCTGGGGACAGAGACAAGAGTCAGCAGTAGTGTGAAGAGGGCTGGGCCCCTTCTGCAGGTAGGGCTGGGGGACTTCAACTATCAGAGTGTCAGGGAGACAGCATGTCCTGGGAGAGACCCTTTTGCCCTTGTAGTGGTCCAAAGAACCAAGGAACATGAGGAGGAGACCAGATGCCACAAGTCTGGGCTGGCTTGGCCAGGTGGGTCCCCTGTTGTGTTTGATGACAGGGGTCCTTGAATCCCCAGTGTAAACTTTCAACCCTGGACGTGTGGTTGTGGGCAAGAGTGGACACTATGGGGCAGGCCTAGGGGCTCCCAGTCACCCTCAGGCTGAGGGGACACTTACCGGGTCTTGATGCTGGGGTGCAGTGGTCTCTGAGGCCAAGCTGGACACTGGCCCTAGGAAAGGTCAGGCTTATTCATGAGGGTCATGGACTGGGGCAAGATAGGGGATGAGGAGGGTACCCCATTTCCAAGGAGGGTGTGAAAGCTTCCTCTCCCCATCAGGTCTGGGTACCAGGGGGCCCAGGAGAGGGGAGGGGAGGAAAGGCCTTAAGAAGACACTGCTGCCCTGGGCCAAGGTGAAAGACCCTCCCAGGTGCAGACCCAGGAGAATGTTGGCTGAAGGACCCAGAAAAGGGACTGAAATTGAGGAAGAATTAAAGCAGGAGACTTTGACTGAGTGGAGGATGCATGCCATGGGGGTGGGGACAGGGAAGCAGGGTCACCACGTAGGCAAGACGTTTGGGAACCACGTGCATCTTGAAAATCCCTGACCCCATTGGTGATCCTGCTGTGGAGGACCCTCTGCTCAGGCCAGGAGATGAGGTGATGTGACAGTGGCCTTTTGTGCTCTCCACCCACCTGACCAGGAGACAGAGAACTTTCCAGGACACACGACTGGCTGGGCCCTGGGATCCCACCTCACACATCAGGGGCCTTGGGTCACACAGGAGGTGTGGAGAGTGGACCCACCTTCCTCTCCAGGCCCCAGCCCTTGCCCTGAGTGACCTGGGACAGGACCCCTCATACACATAGCTCAGCCCTCTCTTGGTGTGGGGGCAAATACTGCAGGAGGTGCCGTTTTTGAACCCTAGTCTAGGGAGGGACACCAGTGCTATGGGGACAGTTCCTGGTGACCAATGTGCAGAGGAGGCAGCTCTTGAGCAATCAGCCCAGAGCCAGCAGCTGGTGAGGGACGGGGGGCGGCTGGGGTGAGAGGGGAGGGTCCTCGGGAAGTGGGGAGGTCAGAGTCAGGCCAGAGTCTGAGGATGGGTCTCCTTCCCTCAGGCCTGGGGTCACCTGGGGTGGGATCAGGTAGGGGAAGCCTGGGTACCTTCCAGTTCTTGTGTGGAGCAGGAAACACCCCAGAGCAGCCACCAGAGCCACCCCGACCAGGACCCCAGTCACGATGCCAGCGACGGCCCCCACAGGGAGGCCTGGGGTCCTCTCTTCTGCTGAAAGAGAAGAGAAAGGGGCTGAAGGGCAGGTCTTCAGGGGAACCAGCTGGGCCCTGCAGGGGCCCACAGAGGGTGGAAGGAAATGGCACCAAGGTCCCAGTGCAGTTTGTCATGTCGTCACCATGTCCTCCTGACTCTGCTTCTGGCGATTTCTTCACGTTTGGTTTTGAAACCTGCATGTGCTCTAGCCTGACCCTCTCCACATGCAGCTGGGCCACATCCTGCTCATGCTCCTGTTAAGGTCTCTTCCTCTTCTCTTTTATTTTATTATATTTTTTAGATGTTGAAGAACCTTTATTTAATTCATTTGTGTGTTTGATGCTGAGAATTGAACCCAGGTTCTCACACAGGCCAGGCAAGTGCTCTACCACTGAGCCCCACCCCACCCCCCTCTTCCTCTTTTCTTCCTTCCATCACAGGACAGTGTCAGTGGGCAGCCCTCACAGACTGTCTAGCCCAGGCCCAGCCTCGGGTACAGATCAGAATCAAGGTGACATCAAGGCACCTAATTTCTGCGTAGTCAACCACATTCTCTCCAAGCTCTGGCCTCTACCCCATGCTCATGGCTGGTGCCATATTGTGGCCCTTGACAGTGAAATATATGACAGAAGCACTGGTGACATGGGGGCCACTCACAGATCACAGCCAGTCTGTAGCGCTCACTGCTGGTGGAACTGGTGGGGTTGGAGGCCTCACACTGATACTCCCCGGCATCCTACTGTCTGACAGGGTCTATGCTGAGGGTCCTGTGGTCCGGGGAGAGCTGCATCCTGTCTGTGAGCTGCAGAGTCTGGCTATTGAAGACCCACGTGATGGAGATTCCAGGGTCATCTGAGAAGCAGGTCATGGCCACAGAGTGTGGTTCTGTGTTGGTGGCTCTGAGGGAGGGCTGGGCCACAAGCCCTGTGGAAAAACAGCAAGGGGCTGACTGAGAGTGGGCCTCAGGCTAGGAAGTAACTTCTTCCATGTTGTTTCCAGAAAAATCAAGACTCCACCCAGTACTCAATACTGTGCTCCAGGGTCCACTTACCAGAGACAGCAATATTCTTGGTTGTGGTCCTATTGAGGTTAGTGACAGAGTTATGGGCGACAGACACATAGGATCCAGTATTATTTGTAGAGAGGTTGGGGACTGAGAGCTCTTGTGTGGATTCCAGGGGCCTCCCATTGAAAGACCAAGAGTACTGAGCAGGTGGGTTATTGTCTGCGTGGCAGGAGAGGTTGAGATTTGTCCCTGAATGGAAATGTGAGTCTGGGGGGTTTATGATGGGGGCATCAGGGCCATCTGGAGCAAACAGAATAAAGCCACATATAATGACATCAGAGGGAAAGGGAAGTTCCTAGACTGTAGAAGACCACAATATAACTACTGATCTATGTCACAACCTTGTTTCTTTTTTTTTTTTAAGTCACAACTAGGCTGGGGAGTACAGTGGTACAGCACCTGCCCAGCATGCAAGAGGCCCTGGGTTCAAATCCCAGCACCATACACACTCACAGAAAGTCTGAACCAAACCCCTTTGTTCACTGAAATTAGTGTGTGACATTCCCCTGCTTCTCAGTTCCAGGTGGCTGACCCCAGGAATCCCCAGGGAACCACAAGCCCTCCCCTCCTATTCATGGCCCAAGGCTGGGCCTGCCTGGATATGCCTGGGGCAAATGGCACAGCCCATCCAGGTGCCCAGGAGAGACGGTCTGTGTACTTGGACCCAAGAAGGACTAAGGGGCCCAGCCTCTGGCCCTGTGTATTTGAGTTCACAGCCAGGGTAATGGAGGAATAGAAGTTACTCACAGGAAATATTCAGAGTGAGTGGGTCACTGTGGTTGGCACTCACTGGGTTCTGGGTTTCACACTCATAGGGTCCTGTGTCATTCCTTGTGACATTGAATAAAGTGAGAGTCCTGTTGTTGTTGGACAGCTTCAGCCTGTCACCATCTAGGATTGTCTGATTGTTTATCTTCCACAGGTAGGTTGCATAATTAATCTCAGGCTCACACGTTAATGCTAGAGAGTCCTCACCCTCCATGGGTTGGGAGTTGTTGATTGTGATGTTGGGTTTGGGTAATTTCTCTGTGCAGACAACAAACAGAGGATTGCCCTGTGGTCTGCACAAAGTTGTCTTTCCACCTGAGCTGGCCTCTCACCTCCCACCAACCTGAGTCCTGAAGAACCAGGCAGGAGTGGGTATCCTGGGCAGATGTAGGACGATCTGAGGGATCAGAAGACGTGGGGCCCCCTGGGCTGTGTCTGGGAGAAGCACAGAGTTTCTCACAGGTGCACTTAATTGCAGAGTTTGGTCCTGGACAGACCCAGGACTGGGAGTTAGCAACCCTGTGTCTCTCCTGGTCCTCGCTGGCCCTGGCTGGCCTTGAGACGCAGAGTCCCTCCATCTGCACAGACTCCAGGGCTCAGCCCATGTGTGTGTCCTCTGAGCCTTTGGTTTTCAAGGCCATCCTAGAGGTGGGTCATGATGGGACACCCCACTGTGCCTAAACCCCAGGAAGACCCCACAGCCTGATGTGAGAATGGGGTGTGTGAACAGAAATCCCACACTAGGAGACCGGGGGCATTCAGTTTGGTGGTCAGGCTGGGGCCACAAGGGGGCATTTCTGCTCAGGTGTTTCCTGGTGACTGACAGGAGCCAGTGACACCTGAATGGCAAAGCATGAGTCCAAAGAATGCTCTAGGGTGAGGGGGACAGACAAGGTTTAGAGCAGAATCATGTTCCTGTCCTTGGTCTTTACATCCTTCTCCCCCTGCAGAGAGCAGGTGAGGCATGTGGAATGGTCCTGAGAGACCAGTGGATGGTTCCAAACACATTAGCACTAGGAGGTGGAAGAGGGGACCAGGACCTTGCTGAAAATACGGCCTTGTGGGCTTGTGTGTGGCAGACCTGGGGTAGAAATGGGGGATGGTAAAGTTTTCCCATATGGGAAAATAGTTTTTAATACCCAGGATCTAAGACTCCTTTCTGAAAGAAATATTTCTCTAAGGAGCACAGTGTCTTAGACTGAGCTCTGAAGTCCTGAGGGGTCACATTATGACCCAAGGCAGATGGTAAAGTCAGTTTGAAACCAGCAGCCTCCTGAGTAAGGAGAGACCTGTGGGTCCTGGTGGAGGACTGAACTGGTCCGAGGGGACATCTGAGGGTCTCTGTTATGTAAAATGAGGCACAACACCAAACTCAGAGAAGTATTATTGATCATGTTAATCAATCTAGAAGTCTATGTTCCCAATTGCTATGGAGACTCAGACAAAGTGGGGAAGAACCTGACACAGGCCTGTGGAATGCCTTCTTCCTTTTCTTTTCACCCCAGGAAGTGCAATGAGATCATCAATTGTTCCATATCAGTGCCTAGAGCCTAATGTAAATGACCGTGGCTGGAGCATCACACCATGTGGGGACAGACCTCCCTTGTGGTGATGGTGTCCTCCTGAGGACACAGGCACATATGGAATAGACAGTTAGCCCCTGAGACAGCACTGTTCAGTCCAGCTCCCCCTTGGGGAAGGTCCTGGGAGTCACTGGAGGAACATGAGCCCCACTTAGGGACCAGGATGGAGCCACCAGTCATCTGGGTGTAAGGAGCCTGGGACCTAGGGGCTTGCCGCCCTTTCTGCTGTGTCCCCCTCGCTGAGTCAGTGCAGAGAGTAGATGGAGGAGATGCTCAGGCCTGTGTCCTGGCCTATTTCACATGTCATTGTCATGGAAGGAAAGAGCCCTGGAAGGGACACAGTGGAGACTCCTTCATAGTCGGGGATATTGCCCCTAATGCAGCCTGACAGGGGCACCTGCCTCGACTGTTTCTGTGCCCTTTACTATGGCCTGGAGGGGGTCTGGCCCCAGGTGTTAGCAGGAAGTGGACAGAACAGATGGCCATTAGTGTAGGAGGGAAGGGCATGGCTCATTGTGCAGGGCAGGGCCAGTCCTGCCTGAATGAGAAGGAGGGAGAGGACGGACAGGCAGGAGCAAGACAGCCAGAATCGCCATGGCAGAGAGCAGTGGGGGTACAGTGACTTAAAGCCCCAGGTCCAAGAGCCTCATGGCCACCTCAGAAGTGACCCAGGGCCACCCTGAAGACCCTCCACAACCCAGCCACCCCAAGGGCATCCTGTGATGTGGCTCCTGGGTGGCCTCAGGAGAGGTGGTTGATGGTATGGAGCAAGAGCCTCAGCCTCCAGGAGGGACAGGGAGCAGGTGGCAGAACCCCCTGGGATTGCACATGCAGGTTCCAGGCTCTGAAGGGGTTCAGGGTCATTCATTCATGATCCCTCCCCCCCTTATCACAAAACCATTGAGAGTTGGCTGCACCTTGGGCCCTGTCCTGGCTGCAGGGTCCAGTGGGGAGAGAGAAAGGAAAGTCCTGTCCTTTATGCTTCAGACGGAGTGACACCCAATACACCAGGAAACAGGAGACTTCAAGTTCAGTGAGGGAAGGCGTGGACCAGCTGTGGGAGGGGAGGCCTGGACATTCTGTTGAGGCAGGTAATTTGGTTTCAGGGTAAAAATTGATTATCCTCCATTTGCTCTCACCCCCAGACGATACTGTCCCCTCCAGCTGCCAGTGCCCTGAACCAATGACTGGTCTCTGGTCCACAGATGCCTAATAGGCCCTCAGCAGGCAGAGCACGGGGCTCTGGCTACACAGTGACATGCACCACTGACCTCCCACCCATGGTCTGTGTGACCTGATTCAGCAGCTGTGTTCCCCGTGCCTCAGTTTCCCTTTATTGGGTACATGGGAAATGGTGTCTGGTTCACCATGTTGTCTCTAAGTTAACCTTGAAATCCTCACAGTAACCTGACCTTGGTTTAGAGGAGCTTCCCCCAAAGAAAAAGCCCCTACTCTGATCTGCCTCCCAGTGAGAGCGCCCTGGGCTGGTCCCGGGAGGACCAGGAGCTCCAGGGGCATCTCTTTCCTCTGTTCCTCCCCTTGGAGACATGGACCTTCCTGTGGAGCCTCATAGAGGTCCATCAGGGCACCTGATTGGCCTCAGGCACCTGTCCCTCTGTGCTCACCACACCTAGTCCCAGGAGAAGGAGATGCCCAGGTGCCCTTGCCCAGATGTGGCTCCTGGGACTGTGCCCTGGCTGGTGACCACCTCCAGGAGCTACCAGATCAGGTAGCCAGTAAATCATTGCTCCCCAGCGGCCCTCAGCAGGAAGCCAAACTCCAACCCTGGCCACATGTCCTCAGAGTCACCTGGAGCCAGGAGCCTGGGACAGAGGTCTGGAGCAGGTACACCCTAGGACTAACCTTCTCTGTGATGACTCCAGGGCCCTCAGGCCAGGCCTGACTTAGTCCTGCAGGGTCTTTCTCAGGGCCATGCTCCTGGGAAGGACACAGGGGCTGGGCTGAGACTGCTCTGCTTGGGCCGAGTCTCCCACCAGACCACCCTGCTCTCTGCCAGTGGATTCTGGCAGAGGACTCGACTCTTCTGAATTCTGTCTGCACTGCGTGTGTCCTGCACTAAATGCTCCAACTCCACTGTTGGGACGTAATGCACAGGAGGAGGTAGGCAGACCAGGTCTTGGGGTCCTGTGTGTGCAGTGGAGTTGACCCCTCCACCACCCAGAGGGCTGGGGCATTACTCACTATGTACTCGGAACTCTCCAGTTGCTGCTTCACTATCAAAATCGGCAGTTGTGGCTTGTAGGGTGTAGAATCCTGTGTCCCCCTTTGTCACATTCACAAACAGCAGGGACCCATTTGGGTATATTGTCTCACGACCACTGAATGCAGGGCCTTGGGTAGCTGAGTGTGTGAGATTCGAGTAGGATACAATTAAACGGCTTCGGTCTATTATTTGCCCTCTGTACCACTGGTAGCCTGCAGTGGTCTTCGACACATTGTGGACAAGTAGAAGAACGTCTCTCCCTTCAGCAACATCGAAAGGCACTGGTACAATAGTGAGCGAGGCAGTGGGGTTGGGGTTCCAGAAGGTTAACAATGAGACTAGGAGGGAAGAGAGAGAAATCCATCAATACTGGGACCTTGTACTGGGTGAAAAGTTGGGACCCAGGTCCTCAGCAGGAGCCCTCATTCCTCAACCTTGGGGTGTGTGGTGTGTGCGTGTGTCCCTGGTCAAGGCCAGCAGCATGACCTCCATTCCTTCAGGACCCCTGTACCTGTCATACTCTCTTGGGAACACATTTCCCCAGGTGTCTGCAAGGCTGGCCCCTCAGTGCCCTCAGATCCCTGCTCACACCCAGGGCACCTGGGCACCCGCCTCCCCTGACCACCTCCTTACAGACCCCAGGTCTTCCCTGTGGACATTTCCCTGCTCTCTGCCCTCCTAGATCTACACAGCACCTGGCCTCACCTGCAGATCTCCCTCTGGCCTGGCTTCCTGCCCTCTAGAGAGGAAGCTCCAGGAGGCAGAGACTAGTCTGACCCTTGTGGTAGCCCAGGGCCTGGACCAGGCTCAGCCTCCTGTGGATGAGTGAAGCAGGGTCCCCACCCTGAGGGTCCAGGTGTCTGTGCCAATGTCTGAGGCTGGTGGCTACAGACAGTGTCCACTGCTCAAGTTGCCTTTCTATTTGGAGGGTGGCCCTGACAGAGCTGTTAACAACGATTTTCAAAATATAATGGCCCCTGGTGAGTAACTTGGGAAAGAGCACCCCTGAGCTTTCTGACCCGCTTCAACTGTTCCTGTTGGTGAGCTTCTGTCTTCTGTGTTCTGTTCCCAATAGGTTCCCAATGTGACATAGTGAAGCCCTGTGTCCCCTGTGAGGGTCGTGTCCTCCCAGGGGCAGCACCAAGACTGTGCTCCCAGCTCCCACCCTCCTCAGGGAACTGTCCCCTCTTACCTGCCAGCAGGACCCCCTGCCAGGGGATGCCCCCTCTGCAGGGACAGGCTGAGGGGGGATGCATGGTCCCTCTGCTCTGTCCCCTCTGTGGAAGGAGCTTCACTGAGACCCGCTGGGAAGCCCAGGTCCAGGCCACTCAGCCCTGCTGCCCTGCTCCTCTCTGAGCTCAGCCTCCTCCCAGGGCAGGAGCACTTTCCTGGGTCACAGGGCTGGGGGCGGGGTCTCTGTGGAGGAACCTCTGTCCCCTCCCTCTCAGTCCTGCCTCCTGTCCCTTCTGCTTTCCCTGTTGGGTTTCACTGCTGCATGCCACACCCTGAGGAGCAAGGCAGGTGGGGACGCTGTCCCCTGAGAGAAGTGGCTCACCCAGCACTGGCCTCAGCTGTGTCCTGGCCTCAGGGCTCTCAGCACCACACAGGGAACCCCTGGGGTCCCCTCACCCCTGGGCATATTTCCTTTATGACAGAGAATCCCAGTTTAGCCCTGTGTCTTCCCCATGTTCTCAAATGCTCTAGGAAGGTGGATTTCCCCCCAGCAGGAAGGGGACAGAGAGAGAGATCTGGGATCTAGAAAGGGGCCCTCTGAGTGATGGCTGGTGAGGGGACCTGCTCTCTGTCCTGGTGTCTCCAGCTTGGCCTCTGAGTGGCTATCTCAGGACTTCACACACTTTGTGTCCTGAGTGGGAAGGGCCATGGTAGTGGAGGTAGGTGACCATGGGTTCCCTGGTCCTCAGGGAGAGATTTTTAGGGAGACCCTCCCTCTCCAGTTATTGATGGAGCTGTGTCTCAGGACTGCCCATGCCTTCCTTGGGTGGCCTGTGTCCTCTACCTAGTGATTCCTCTGTGGTCCCCCTGACTTTTTCCATGGGTGATACTAGAGGCAAAGGCCTGCTTAGAGACCACTGGCAGTGCAAGGTCCTCACAGGCCCAGGAAGGAGTGGGGGTGGGAGCCGAGCAGGTTTGTGGAAGGCACCCTGGTCTATTGGGGATGGAAATCAGGCCACATTTCCACCTCCTGAGTTTGCCTGGTCCAAGTTTCAGAATCAATCAGCCAAGTGTTGACTGTGAGTCTCATGTCGCCCCCTGGTGGTCATAAGGAGAACTGTGGCCAGTGTCAGGGACTGTAGCAGGGATGCGGCCCAGGGGCCAAATATTGAGAGCTGATCCTGTCCCTGGGCACAGGTGGCCCTGACCTACTGGCTGCAGAGTGGGTCCAATTTACTGAGTGTCCCCAGGATACCTGACTCTGTCTAGGGCAGGGTGAGTCTAGGGAGAGGACGGGAGCTGTCCTGGGGACTCCTGCTCCAGAGTAGGGAGGACTGGGCAGCCTCAGGAGGGGCCATCTGTGCCTGAGGGTTCAAAGGAAGGACATGGGGAGGTGTCTCCTGAGGCTTTAGAGGGCAAGCACTGGATTTATGAGGTATGTCTGCAGTTGGCTGGTGTCGTGTGAGTATTATGGAGATGATCTGGCCAGATACATGACACAGCCTCTCATCCCAGCTGTTCAGGAGGCTGAGGCAGGAGGATTGCTAGTTTGAGGCCAGACCATGCAAATTAGTTTGACTTTGTCTCAAAATAAAAAATGCAATGTAGTTCAGTTTTAGAATGCTCCTGGGGACAATCCCTAATCCCTTTCACCTGTCTGTCTGTCTGTCTGTCTGTCTCTCTCTCTCTCTCTCTCTCTCTCTCTCTGTCTCTGTCTCTCTCACACACACAGACACACACTAAGCAGAGTGGGTGTAGTTCACACATCTTTCCTAAAAACTTTTCATAGTGTAATACTTATTACAAAAATGTGCTCTATTAACCCTTTTAACTGTAGAAATACATGCCATGAGTCCATTCGAATATACAGTGACTACTATTTCCAGAATTTTTTCATTACCTGCACTAAAACTCTGACCATTAAGTTATCACATCTCAGGACTCTCTAACCTTGGGTAACCTTGATTCTATTTCCCGTCTCTATGAATTTGCCTATTCCAGATATTTCATATAAATGAAATTATACAACCACATACTATTTTGCTTCTTGTTTAATCATGTTTTCTGGGTTATTCAGGTTGTAATGTTCACCAGAACTTTATTTTTCATGGCTAATTAATAATCCAACATATTTGTAATCCATGTTTTTTATGTATTCCTCTGTTAAGGCCCATTGTTGCCCCTGAAGGTCATGAGGAGACCCATGGCCATAGTCAGGGACTGTAGCAGGTATTCTGCCTAGGGTCCAAATGGTGACAGTTGGCCCTGACACTGGGCACAGGTGGCTCTGACCTACAGGCAATAGGAGAGGTCCTGTTCACCTTGGGTCCCCAGGGTGCCTGACACCCAGTGTGGGGTGAGTCTAGGGAGATGACAGGGGTTCTCCTGAGGACTCCTGCTCAGAGTCGGGAGAACTTTGCAAACAAGGATGGGCAGCCTCAGGAGAAGCCAACTGTCCTAAGGTTTCAAAAGAAGGACATGGAGGTGTCTCTTGAAGAAGATCACAACCAGGATGGTGCACTGTTAGGAACCCATGGGACATTCTTGGTTTCTGACTTGGTTGAAGTTGTTTTCTGTTTATTTTCCCTGAGAGTCGAAGGCATGTGGGAGGCTTTTCCTGTCTGGCTGGTCCCACAAATGTTCAACCTGAGCACAGGTGACTCCTACAGACCCCGTGATGAGCACCCAAGGCTGGCAGTGCGCAGGGAGGGGTCTAGGAGGGCTGTCCCCTCTCTGTGCAGGTCATGGAAGTGGAGGGGAGCAGGATGCTGAGGAGTGTGGCTGAGGCAGGGCACAGGCAGATTTGGGTTCCCTCGGGGGGTGGAGGGGACCCCAGCCACCATGCAAAAGCAGCACCTGCTGTCACAGGGAGAGAGCAGCAAGTAGATTGCTATTCTGGCTGCAGCTGGCCTGGGAATGACCTCTGGGTCATATGGTGAGGCCAGCTGTATTGTATGTGTCTGTTCCTTTGACAGGTATGAGGAGGGATGGGACCAAGTGTTTCCTTGACAGTCAAATTTCCTAGTGGTTGCTACTGCCCCACCGCCTTTCTCTGTAGAGGATCAGGAGGGACCTGAAGCTGTGTTTTGGACCCAGGGCTGGTTTCACAGACACCCTGTGGGGTCTGCTGCCCTTAGGGAGGGAGGAGAGGGACTAGGGTGCTCCTGCATGCTGAAGCCTCAGGTGTCCCACCTGGTGAGTCTGCTCAGACACCTGCCTTGGGGGCAAATGTCAGAGCTGGTGGTTGTCACTGACCTGAAGCTGGCATGATGTGGGGGCAGGTGTTCAGGAGACCAGAGCACATGGCTCCTGTAGAGGGGAGGGTCTCAGGGGCTGAGCAGGTTGACCTGGGGAAAATGGGAAGGACTGCTGGAGAGTCAGCCCCTCATCTGCCCCTGTCAGGGTCTGAGGCTGTGTCCAGGGAGAAACACTGGGCACAGGGACAGGGTACAGAGGACCCTGGGGACGCTCAGATGCAGAAGGTGAAGAGGAATCCACCCCATCCACGTCAGGGAGACTCCCCTGAGTGCACAGTTGACTCTTCCACTGGGCAAACTGGGGGGGGGGGTGAGTGGGACCTGACATGACACTGCCTCAGCATGACACTTCCTGTAGGGCTTGGCTTGACACAGTTTCCCAGGGGCTTGTGTGTGGCTCAGGGAGCAGGATGCGGTGCTCAGGGGGAGCTCCAGCTGGTGTGGTTCCCAGGACAGGACCTGGGGGAAAAGATTCCATGAGCTTTTAAGATGCTTTTAAGATTTTCAGGGGACTTGTGTTCCTGCGCACACCCAGAAGAGCCTCCAGAAGAATGCAGCTCAGGACACCTTGACTCTGCTGTTTCCTGCCACTGTGTGGGAGCCAGTCTGTGGCAGCTGCACCACGAAACCAAGAAAAGAGAAGTCATCGTGTGTGACCTGATGCTATGTTCATGCAGGACGAGCCTCACTAGAGCTGAGTCACAGTGGAATCTCTGAGGATGACTTCCTACTTGTCATGTCAGGACAGACAACTCTCAGGCATCAGCAGAGTGTCCCCTAATCTTTACTAAATTTACCTCGAATTTCCAGGAATATAGTGGCCTGATCTACATCATGAACTGCCGCAGTCTGGCTGGGCACAATCAGGAGCCACTTGTCAAAAGAAACTAACTTTATTTTTAGAACCACACACGCCAAACAAAACAGCCTCTCAGGAAAAACCCTCAGAGCCTCAACTGCCACCACTGGCTTTCCGCAAGCCTCTCTCTCCCACACAAGCTTCTCTCCACCTCCCACAATCCTCCTGCTCTTGAGGCCGATTGGCTGGGTCACATGGGCGGAGCCAAAAAAGTCCCCCAATGAGCAGCTCCGTGGTCTGAAAGGGCAGGGAAACAGCCCAATGAGCATCACCGCAGAGGAGCCAATCAGCTAGATGTTGCTGGGGCCGAGGAGCCAATCAGCTAGATGTTGCTGGGGCCGCTGTGAGCCAATCATCAGCCAGCAGCTGGAAGTTTGCTGGCAGCTGGAAGTTTGCTGGGGCCCCTTTGGCTGTGGCTCTCAACATCTCCCCCTCTCTGTTTAAACAACAAGCATGTGGCTTAGGGACCGTGCCTGTTAGGCAGTCCAATTCAACATATGGTCCTTACCCGTCATCGGATGAACTGACCTCTAGGCGTCAGCCTCCTGTCTTAGGTTGGTACCACTGCAATTGGATCATACCCGTCACTGACTACCGGTCCAGCATACAGCCATACTTGTGGATAGGCCTTTGCAGCTGTGGGGGGGTGAGGTTCTTTGCCTCACCTCTGTTGGCCCCCAAATTTTAGACCATCACTAGTAGAGGAGGATGCAAAATGCCATGACATTAAGCCAATTGAGGGCTCCTTTGAAAAATTGTACCACCGGTGACATCATCAGCAAAAATACCCCAACACTACCACAAGTCGCTGCACCAACAGATAGTTCACAATGCATACAGGTGAGCTCACAATGTGTCCAGGCAAGTTCTGCAAGCAGTTCAGTGATGGCTATTGTAGAAGCTGTAGATTGGTTTTATCTTTGACTTCACCAGCACTGGGATGAAGATAGGAATTCTGGCAATAATGGCTAAAGAAAAAATTATGTAACACTACAGAAGGCACTAAAAGAAAACAATTTTCTTAACAATTTACATTAT